TTCAGGTCATCTAACAGCATTTCAAACTCGTCTGACGCCAGAACTTCAACTCTACGAATATTTGAACTGTCCTACAGGGGTACGTTTTTAATAGCAGATGTCCACTACTAATTCTCACTTTTCACCGCATCCACCACGGCCAGCATGCAGTATTTCTGTTTCAGAATCTGTGAAAGGCCTTTTCTTCTTCGCCAAGAAGCAAACACGAAGGGAAGATGCTGCAGCTCTCTCTTGGGCTGTACAGGACCCTCACCATGGTAGTACAACTCCGGTTGTAAGATTATTAAACTCGGTAAAATGAATAAGTATTTGTCAGTCCAGGCAGGGTTAAACCGACAGTTTTCATTGTCAATTTTGCGCTTTTGGAGTGAGAAAGACATGCTGTTGTCGCATCATATATTACGATGATTGTTTAATATGTTTACATCACGGTGCATTGTGGGTTAAATATTGCTAGGCTACTAGGAGTGTTGCATTCACAGTCTACACTACGCTGTAGGAATTTTTAATTTTTTAAAAATTAATTAATGAATTAATTTTTTGCGTTTTCTCTGTGTTTCTGCCAGAACCACAGGCAGGGCCACTCGCAGGTTGCTTCTGGGCCGCCATTTGAATAGGCTTGGGGTAGTGTGTGACACACAACTTTGTGAACACGATAACTCAAGATTTTTAAATTAATACCATAGGTGCATTTCCTAAAAATCTCACACAAATATGAATATCAGTGATGTTGACCTCGAGTTTTCTGAAAATCTTATGAAAACATGTCACCTAAGATTTTCAAATTGATATCACAGGTGCATTTACTAGGAGTCTAAAGGGCGGGACTGGCAATGACCAGTATTTTTTATTTGTATTTTTTACAATTATAATACATGTTTAATTTAGCATTCTGGAAATGGTTTGCAAAAGAAGGGGTTGTTCCTACAATTGCATGTTTCCCGTTAATAGAAGTTTACCCTGTGTTTTCTGTCTCTGGAGAGCGGAAAACATTAATGCGCTCGTATTTTATTGATGGGCACCAGAAGAGGCTGATTGCACCCCACTGTGTCAGCAAAATGTACCCAAACGGTCCTCAATTACAGCTTTCATTCGGCCCATTCACTCGTATTACGGTTGTGCCTACCATTATAAAAGCTTTCATTAAACAAGACACTGATGCTCACAGTAAGCCATCACACAGAGCGATTAGAAAATGCACCCCGACTAAGATATCTGTAATCTCAAGTGGGTGGCAGTTTTACTTAAATTTAGAATGGATAAATAGTTAAACATTATTTTGTGTGGTTTGTGTCTGGACAGTTTTTTTTTTTTTGGCCTTTAAAGTGTAATTCAAGAGGACACTGTTTTTTTTATTATTACTGGCAGGCTTGTCAGTCCTTGACACCAGGCATCTCTCCTGGCTCTTGTGGACAAGTAGGGGGCGAAGAGAGCAAGAAGAGCGAGGCATTTAAAGATGAATAATCCATAAAAAGTTCTGCTGGGCAGCACTTTCTCTCTTCTATTTTATGACCTTCTCACTTTGTTCCTTTTTTTTTTTCATCCTCACTCTTCACTCACCTTTTCCCCTCCTTTTCTATCTAATGCTTTCCCCCTGACAGGGCCACTTGCAAAAAAGGTTAAAAGCCAAACATAATCTCTTTGTTGGTGGATGTGTTTATAGAGATGCGTGCACTGTAAGAGAGAGGTAGGCTGAGGTGTACAAACCTCGTCACTGTTGTGCTTTTAACCCATGGGCCTTGACGTGGCCTAGACCGGGGGAGAGCCGGGTACAGGCTTCTGCTTCGCTTAAGTGCTTTGCTGTCACGCTAGCAGAAAACAAATTCTCATTTATTCTCATTTATTATTTTAAGAGGTTAACAGCTAATGTTTGAAAAAATAATTTCAACTTTCCAGTAAGTGATAGGGTAGCTTTGGGCACATAGTCCAATAGTGTGTTCGATGTAACTGCCGTTATATAGAGAACAGTTTCTCTACTAGATGTTCCTTTGAGATAAAGACTGGCATCTACAGGTGGGCAACAAGTTTAAAACAAAAAGCAAAAAAATATGTGTTGTAAAAATATTGGGCCACTATATATTGCATGCCTTGTAGAATCGGTGATCGGCATTGTTTTTACAAGGGTAACTGGGAAATCCTTTCCTGTGTTTTTTTTTTTTTTTTTTTTTTTTTTTTTTTTTTTTTTTTTTTTTGTTGTTGTTGTTGTTTTTGGTGAGAATAAAGGTCATTATTTAAAACAGTGATCCTCCAAAGGGTACAGCTGGTGCCAGACTGTGAAACGGCTTAAGGTGCTGTCTTGTAAATGTTGCAGAAATATGATTTAAATAATTATTAAAGAGTCTTTATTGTTTTTATATTTTATATTTTTGGTAATCACTTAATCATGTATTTATTTCCAGTTAATTAACATTGAAGTGATTTTTCTTTTTCAATATATACAAGTACAACAAGTCATCGGTGGGTTAAAAGAGGTTGAAATGCAGCACATCTTGTGGCCTTTATCGAGCTGAATTTTAGTTTCCACCCTCGTCAGATCTCATCTGGAGCTGCTTTTATTTATTTATTTATCTTTTGTTCATCAGCACTGGCTTAATGATTAGGATTGTCATGGGTGGTGATTTCGTTCTTCTGTTTAATTAATTAGAATCTGGCCATATTTTGGGATCTTTTGAATTTTCTTTGCTGTTAGATTTCTCCCTCCTCCTCTTGTCCTTCCTCCCCCACCCCCTTTTTTTCCTGTATTTATACTCCCTCTACTAAGAGGCTCCCTAGGATACTTCCTTATGCCGTTACTTCTCAGATCCACCCTGAAAAGAGCTTCTCTTTCTCATACACAACATAAACATGCACCTCAACTACACAAAAAAATAGCAGGCATAATAATTTACTTTAACTCTCAAAGAGGACCTGCAGTGCACACCGCAGAAGCTTTTCTTCCCTTTATTGTGTTGCATATCATTAAACTTTCCACTCTTGCCTTCTGAAGCCTCGCTTTTTCATGAACATGACATTGCCAAATAATTGACTCCCTAGGCGTGGGCAACAGCGGGTGAATGCAAGTGCTCACAGGTTCACCTTAGGACTACCGAACGGTCTGGACACACAGCCTCAGCCAACGCAGTTCTTGCTCCTGGTTTGGCCGAGGTTTAAAAGGTTAAAAATAAGAGTTCTCTTTTCAGCATTCACTCGGTATCTCATCATGGGGATACTCTCTCTTGAGTAGCCTTCAGAAGATCATATTTCTTCTCTGGGTCTGTATCAATATCCGGACACATACTTTCACACGTGGAGGTTTTAACTCATCCGAATGAAGGACAAGCTAATTCTACAGCCAGGCATCTGTCATTTGTCTGTCTATCCTTCTATAATTCACAAGGAACTTGGACACAGAGATTACCCAAATGGGACTTCATCCAAACTGTGCTCGAGGCCAGAGTCACATTTGCTGTCTTACGGGCAGTGACTTGTAAACTGAGCCAGATGAGCTGCTACGCAATTCTAATTCACCCTCACGTCACCTTTTGGCTTGGCTCTATATGTGGATACCTTACTCTATTAGTGTGATGATACAGGTTTGTGTTAGACACACATTTTCAAAAAATATAGCTATGCACATGAACAGGTGATAGGTGATAATACGTAAATACAGCTTTGCCTTTGCTAGCGAGGAGAGAATGAAGAACAAGATGATCAAAGAAACCGTAGTAGTAGTAGTAGTAGTAGTAGTAGTAGTAGTAGTAGTAGTAGTAGTAGTAGTAGTATTTAGTCATTGAGTCATTGGTGACTACATGCCAGAAAGATTCCATGTTTACTAGCAATCTACAAAAAAGGGCAGATGACAATAATCATTTATTTTAAAAACATTTTGGACGGATGAGTTAAACACCAGTGAAAGATTTTTTTGAATTTATTTGGACAAAGACATCAGCAGAGCAAATTAGTCGTACCCCATACTGATATCAAATGGCATTTCCAGGCGGCATGTTGGGGGCACCTGTGTATGATTACTTCCTTGTCAAGAGGAAATGATATTATGTGATAACTATCTGCATCTGTCAGATGTCCCTTTATGTTTCCCTCCTTATACTCGCAGCACTGATCTCGTCCAGTCACCACGAGCCACCGTGCCCTTCTGTAATGCTACTGAGGAATTCAGAAAGAGAATGAGAGTTGAATTGGGAATGAATGATAACACACACCATTAGTTATTATTCATGACAAGTGCTTGTTTTCACAGGGAACAGAGACAAAGACGAGCAGGGGCACAAGCAAATAAACATTACCCTCCTTTTTCATCCTCTGCTCTTGAGTTTCAGTGATGTTCAACTTCTGCAGCTCCCGCATTTTTGGAAACTCTTCATAAAAATAAAAAAAAGCAAATAAATCAGAATAATGACTTTTTGTTGCAGTTTGTCTTGTGCCTCCTCTCACTCTTGCCAGCCTACACTGTGAAGCACTGAAACAATTATTCAGGAGATATAAAAATAAAACCTGCAAGTATTTTGATATTTGGGTCACAGTTTTCAGGAATGGATGGCAAAATATTTTTTGGTTTTTAGCTCCTTAAACATTAGAATATTCTGCTTTAATTGGTCTTGTGTTGTCTTAGTAAAATTACGGGGAGGAAAACATTAAAAGCTATCACTGTGTTTAATAGATCAAATCTTTAATCCAGTTATTAGCGAGCAGATTCGCTGAAAATGAAAATAAGTTTTAGGAGCAGTAAATGCTTAAAGAAAAGAAAGTGATGTTTCTTTTTTTTAAAAATGAAAGGTTACATACCCCAACAGGGATTCAGAGGAAAATAAATGAGCTTTAATTTGAAATTTGCTAATCACAAATCTCAGATTCCTTGGTTTCTTTTGCTCGTCTACAGAGACGATGGAAAGGAGGGTCTAAAGTTCTACACCAATCCATCCTATTTCTTTGACCTGTGGAGAGAAAAGATGCTTCAGGACACAGAGGACAAGAGGAAGGAGAGGCGGAAACAGAAGGTAAGTCTAGAAGAATTAAAAAGCACAGGTTCGGCTGCGTTTTTTGCTTTTTCACACAGCAGCTTACGAGTGCACTGCCGTAGACGGAGGCGTTTATGACAGGCAGCAGCACACGGAGGTTAGCGAGTAGAAGAGTGAAGAGGCTTCACAGATACAGATTGATCTGTCCTGCTTGAAAAAACTGGCAGGGTGATTCACTAATAGATTCAGAGGTCTGGCTTTATACCACACATCCAAATGAGTTAATTAGTCACCACTCATAGATTATAAACTCTTCCCTCTGTCAACCCTCTTAGTTATTGCTTGTGTGATCATTACATCTAATTAATGGGAGCATCTGGTCTTCAGTTGCCCCTGCGCTGTGTGTCACGTCTCTTCTTCTCGACAAATAAACAGTCACTCGTAGCCTCATGAGGAATATCTATAAGCATTTGCATTCTGAGGTTGTTTTTATTTTTCAATGTATTTACACAGACAAATTAAATTATGTGGCTTTGGCTCTTCCTCGCCAAGTGCTGAGTTATGACCCCCCCAACTCAAACCGAGGGGTTTCCCACCCTCAGCATCAGGAGCTCTAATCAGCACCAGCTTGCATTTTCCTGCGTGGGAAGCGGTGCATGCTCCCCATTTTGCCCCCTCGCAGTCAATCAAAGCTCATTACAATCACGTCACTGAGGAGTAAAGAGAGATTTTGTGCTGAGGGTTTATGTGAACACTGAGGATATAATTTGCTGGTTATGAGGTTTTTAATGATTGTGGGAATGACGCACAGAGGACAAGTTTTGCTGAGAATTAGTTGGAGGATTGAGAGAATAAGAGTAACTGTAGTGATATTTGTGGTTGTTTACTAGTCTGTGTGCACTTTTTTTTTTTAAGCAGTAAATGAAACAGAAAGCTACAACATGCGACATTAGGTAAAGCTTATTTGCAAATGAAACAGAAAGCTACAACATGCGACATTAGGTAAAGCTTATTTGCTCCAGAGGGTTAGGCTGATATGACCGCTTGCAGCCAGAGCTCATTCCAATGATTTCCTTCTAATTAAAGTTCCGGGTGGGCTCAGCTTGTAAAGCCATGTTCATTTCCCTCTCACCACAGTGGCACTTAAACAGACCCCATGGAAAGGCCTTAAAGATATTCACAGGGAGAACCGGATATATGGAGGAATAGAGCTATTACACAAACATATATGGTGGTTTGTGTAATCATCATAGTGGATACATGGTCACATGGAGAAACAGGACAAAGATGGCTCAAAGAAGGTGCGCGTGCATGCATGCGCGCTGGTAGCATGCAGAATCACTCATTGAAAAGATTAAGGATAGAAAAAGCACTCGCATATACACACATAAATTCCGGGTTTAGATCTTTGATAACTTTACACTTCATCAATTTGCTGATTGAGTGGTTCTGCCACATCATCTTAATGGCCCTCTCAGTCATGGGGTTCTGTGTGTGTGTGTGTGTGTGTGTGTGTGTGTGTGTGCATGCTTATGCATTTGTAGCTGTAATTATGTTTACCATTGATACTTCATCTTATAATTTCAGATGAAAATTCAGAAGTTTGCAGACGCTTTGCTCCTCCAAATTGAATTATTTTTTTCTGACAACATTAACATTAGCTGGGAAGCTTCAAGTTCATTTTTTATCACGGAGCAGGTTTTGTTCAAGATAATAGATCAACATGTACAAAGTGACCATAATTTGGGGCTGTGTGGATAATAAGAGGGTCTGTGGAGCTACAGACTGTGTAAATTGTTTTCCTTTCTATCATAAGCATCAGTTATTAGATAGAAACTTTATTAAGTGCTTCTTCTTTTTTTTCTTCTTCCTTACAAGCTGCAAGCAACTGAAATATACAACAATTAAATAGCTTTTATCTATAGCTACCTAATCCTAAATCAAAAGGCACTAAACCTTAATAGGTCTCTCATTGGCCTTATAAAATATTTGTAAGACTACTTAATAGTTAAAATAATTTTCTTTACATCATTTAACACTGCAACTTAAGCCTAAAACTATTTTACACACCAGAAGAATCCATCTAAATAACACATTTATTTAATGGATGCACAGTTTTAATTAAAGTCAGATATATTCTTAATGATGATGCAGAGATACTAAGACATTACGCTTATGCTTCTGGGCTCTGGCTGCAGCAGCTGTGTTGTTTATCTTGAATTATATTTTTAAATTCGTCTTATTTATTTTAGTTTTTTTGTTTGATGGCTTTTCTTGTCACATATGTACTGCTCTAGACCTTAATGGTGATCTGGTGTGAACGCCATAGTTTTTAGTAAATGAAACTGGAGTAGCAGATGCAGTTGTACCGTGAAGAAAAAAACTCTTAAACCTTAAACTTTTTTCTTTCTTTTTTTTTTTTAAACTGAACCTGCAAAAGTTCTAATTACATTTTTCATTTAACATTAATTTTAAATAACATATTATAATAACATAAAAACAGTATATCTAGGCTGCAGTCACACTAGTGAAGGTGGTGGTTGGAGACTAGGACAGCCAAAATTACTGCCACCAACCTTTGTCACTGTGTTGATGCACAATCTTGAGTCAGTTTGTGTCAGATTGCGACTGAAGGCAGGTTGCTTCACACTAGCAACCTGCCTTCACTGCAATTAGTCTCAAATTTGAAAAGAATTAAATGCAGTCCCCAGGCAGGTTGCTTTTTTTTGCTCTGAGAATTAATCCACACAAAAAGTCAATAAATAATCATTTAGAAATATAGTTTTCGTTGCCATCACACATATTTAAACATAGAAGCTTTCTGATGCATATACTGTATAGTGGGTATTTTGAATTATTGTACTTTTCAAACAGAGACTCAGCTTAGCTGATTTGGTCACGTCTGCATTCTTTCTTAAACTACAAAAAATGAAAAAAATACATATAGTATTTCAGCTCAGGATGTTGAAGGCTGGGAGTGAATAACTCCTTGAACAAAGTAACAACAAGGACATCCATCATAGATCAGTGGCCAGAATAATGAAACCGATATCAATGTTAAACACGCGCCTTAAGCAATACCTCTTTTTCTTCTTCTTCTTTTTTTTTTTTAAATTACATTTCTGATATTTATTAAAGTAAATGGTCAGTTTCTTGAGCAACCTTGATGTCTCTTGTTTTTAAAATGTCAGTGCTAGAATGAACTCAATTTGTAAGGGTTGTTATTAAGAATAATCAAAGAAGGAATCAAGACAAAGTTATATAAAAGAATGAATAGTATGGAAGGTCCTAACAAGTTAAATAAGTCTTAAGTTTACTTGAAAGGTCACATTCACGGCCGTGGAAAATGTGGTAAGCATATGAAAGCTGAAGGAATGATTAAAGTAAGATCAAGGAAAACTGCCTGAAAGCTGAAAACTGAGGTGTGGGAATAATAGGATGTTACTTCCTTTATTTAGCTACACCCAGGCATGACTACTGTTGAATCAAGAAATCACTTAAATAGAACCAGTTTGACAAAGTGATGTAGGCTAAAAGAGCTTAAAAAGCAACACAACATGCCATGATTCAAAGAAAAAGCTGAGAAACAAAATCACTGACATGTATCAGTCCTGAAAGGGGTACAAAGCAATTCTTAAGGCTTTGGGATTCCAGGACCCACAGTGAGAGCTTTGGAACAGTGACAAACCTTTCCAGGGGTGGCTGGCCTACCAAAATTAGTCCAACAGCATGTCGAGAACTCATCCAGGAGGTCTCAAAAGAACCCAAACAACATCTAAAGAACTGCAGGCTTCACCTGCCTCATTTAAGGTCAGAGTTCCTGATTCAACAACGAGAATGAGACTGGACACTCTCGTCCATGAGAGAGTTCCAAGGAGAAAACCACTGCTGACCAAAAGGAACATAAAGTCTCGTCTCACATTTGGAAGGTTTGAGTCCCGTTACGACTAACACAGCATTTCATAAAAAGATCGCACCAACAGTCAAACATGGTGGTGGTTGTGTGAAGATCTGGGACTGCTTTGCTGCTTCAGGACTTGCTGTAATTGATGGCACCATGAATTCTGCTCTCTAAACCTTGAAGGAAAATGTCCCCACATCAGTTCATGCCCTGAAGCTCAGTTACACTTGGGCTATGCAGCAGAACAGTGATCCAAAACACACCAGCAAATCCACCTCTGAATGGCTCAAGAAAACAAGGTTTTGGACTGGCCTAGTCAAAGTCTGGACTTAAATCAGATTGAGATGCTTTGGAATGAACAGTTATGTGGCTGACTTAACATAATTACGCAAAGAAGAGTGGACAAAACTTCCTCCACAGCAATGTGAAAGTGATTGCATTTCTTGCTGCCAAGGGTGGCACAACCAGTTATTAGGTTTAGGGGGCAATTATTTTTTTCACTCAGGGCCAGGTGGGTTTGGATAGTTTTTTTTTTGTTTTTTTTTTTCCCACTTTATAAATGATGATTTCATTAATTAACTACATTTTGTATTAAATCTGTGTTAACTAATATCATAAATTAGTTTCATGATCTCAAACATGTAAGTGTTTCCCAGCACTGTATTTAATCTTCTTCATCCCCAAACTATTTTCTTACATGGTCACATCACTAATCATTAGACTGAAGCCACATTTAACAAATTGTGGTATTCACAGGCCCAGCCAGCTAGAAGCCAGTGATAAATGAAAAGCAGCATATGGCAGAGAGAGGGGGGAAGAAACCTGCAGTTTCCTAATCTCATTAGCCTCTGTGTTAGCCTCAGTGGATTAGCAGTAGACTATGTGCTGAGCTAGTCAGAGGAAACAGAGGGTGAAAGTCTCAGCGAATGAGAAGAACATGAACAGAGAGAAAGACGGAAAATCGTGTGTTTCTCTTTGAGATCAGTGTTTGGGTCCACTAGGCATTGAGATCTCCAACATCTGAATCCCCTTTATGAAGAATCCCCTTTGCTCTTCCTCTGCTATTCCTGTCTCATTAAAGCACTCGTGGCTGGAGCAGATATCTATTGATGTTTTCCCCCCAATTTTAAATACTTCCCTATAAGCAGGAATACATTTTTTTCACATGGCTCCCAGTTCACCAGTGGGTGTTGGTTGTTTAATAGTGGGCAGTTCTAGCATTTGTTCCTGAGTGGGACTGGAATGGCTTTTCTTTTTTTTTTAACACATGATATAGAAAAGTCACTTTCATGTCTCCACTGACAATGTCGTCCTTTACTTTTTTGCTCACCAACTGATAGTCACAGATCTGCAGCTGCATTGTGTTCAGGTTCTCATGAAGCTTAAGTCATCCAGAGTAAATGTAATGACTCTGAAACGACATTGCAGTCACTGTTGCATATATGCTAGAGAGCCTTAACTATCAAGATGTTTTGCTTTAGGAGACTGGTATGAGAAACTGTTTATTTCTAATCGAATTTCTGTGATACTATGGCACATGTAGAGGAGACATCTGCACCTACAACGCAAGGCATAATTCTGCCACCTGCCTCATAACAGTACACCTCCTTCTGTTGCTCTTATGGCTTGTTGCAGGCTAGTGGAGCTGTGTTAGTTTAATAGCTTGTTACTGCAATAGCAACGATGGCTAATAAGCAAAAAAGAGACAAGCAGACAGTGCAGTATTCTTACCCCAATTTACTAGCTATATTTATATGAACTCAGCTTGTCTACAGTCAATTTACAGCTTTTTGATTCCATTTTAGCTTAAATTTTGAGCTAAGTGCTAATACTATGTAAAGCATAAAGCAAGTAATGTTTTAACAGTAAAGTTCAGTCAAGATCCTGCTTCAGGATCTAGCTTCCACTGTCCTTGTTCTTCTCTACCGTTGCTTTTACATTATTTTCTGAATCTTTATCTAACTCTGTGCAGCTGGAAATGCCTTATCTTGTGTGTCCCAAGAGCCTTATAAGAGTCCTCTCTGAAACCCCTCCTCCTTCCCTTACTCCCCCAGAGGTAAGAGCTTCTCCCTTGTCCTCTCTCCACCTCCACCAGAGCATCTGCTCTGCTTTGCAGTGGCCTGCAGCCCTCTCTATCCTCCCACTTCTCCACTCCCCCCTCTGGTTTGCTTTGGGCAAGTGAGCTGCCCACCTCAAGCCCATCACTAACAACCCTCTAACACTTACCTGCATCCCAGTTCTGTTTAAGAAAAAAAAAAAGGGGGGGGCAAGAGCCCTTGATGTGTACTGCCTTTTACCAACAATCTACAAAAAAGGGCAGATGACAAAACTCAAGTTTTAAACATAGCCTGTGGTTACATGTGCTTTAAATACATACGGCTGTGGCTTTAACACACACAAAGTATGCTGCTCAGTAAAACATCTTTTGTGTGTTTCTAGATAATATACTCTAATAATAATATACTCTAATAGTAATATACTCTAATATACTCTAATCTTCTAATAATACTTTATGTTTACGTCTTTAGTGCAGTCTAACGATGAGCAATGAACAATGACATAAAAAAAATGTGTACTGTTTGAGTTTAAATATGAATAATTTCAAGCCATACCTGTAGGCGTGTCAGTGCACACCTTTTGAAAATAAGGAATTTGGGATACAGCGCTGAGAACTCATTATACTAACTGCAAAACAACTCAGAGCAGTAACTTACCTGTGTGGTAGTTGGTAGTGCTTTTGACTTACCTCCACATGTCTTTTGATTTGTGGTTTGGTCAAACTAACACTAAAGGACATATGAAGCGGGACGTCTTCTGCTTGGATTGTTACAAAAGCACACTGAGAAAAGCACACGTCAGAGTGCATTGTACAGGAAGACATTTGCTTTTGCTGCAGTAAAGGCATCAGTAACTTTTCATATTTTGGCTATTTTTGAGCCTTCTTCACCTTGCTAGGACTTTATTTCAGTATTGACATGAGGCTTCATTAAGGATTTGCATCCAAATGGTTTATTTTACAAAGATCAGCAGCAGCAGCTATGTGTGCATATTGTGAGAGGTTAGCGTTATTGTCAGCAGTGGTTGAATGCCTCTGTGGGCATTCCTGTGATGGGGGTTGGGGAGGGGGGGGTTACATAGCCACGATTCTGCTGAGTCTGTCAGTTGAAACTATACGCACAAATGATCGCACAAATGATGCCTGTAGTGTGTATAACGGTCTGGACACAGGTGTGCACACAGGAATACAGTCTGTATATAAAATAAATCTATAACCACTGTGTTGCATATACACACTGTGCTTACACAGCGGCGCTTCCTCTGCCAGTACCAGTCCATTCAGATGAAAGATGACGACCTAGCAGAGGCACACAGCCCATTGAAAATTAGCTACATATATAACAGCTGTGACTCACACATGCACGCTTACAAACACACGCTCACAGAAAAAAATGTCTCATTTTCTCTCTTGTACGAACACTATCTAATCTATTTTCCCCTCCATTAAAACAAAAACTTATTTT